TAAGATTCCTGCTACAGAGTGCCTAGAACACACCAACGAATGTGAGTAGACTTGAGGCCGAGGGAGCACACAATAGCCTCTAATTTCACAATTCCTGGATTTAAAAGGCACACCTGTCATAGAACTGAGAGACAATAAAGTTATAATGTTACACAACATTATATATGTTATATATTTATATAACATTACTAATAAAAGTAACAACATATTCAGCAATAGTATTCTGAGCAATTTAAAATGGTTGTTCACAATGTAGACACTAATACTGTCCAACTTGACAGATAGGAAAATAGGTAAGCATGAGATGTCACCCGAATGGAAGCTGGAGATACGACCTAACTTAGCCATCTGGAGATACGACCTAACTTACCATCTGGCCCCAGCGGCTTCACACTGAGCTCCCATCTCCTGCCATGGCTTATGACCACAACTCAGTAAACTGCTGCTGGACTGGACTTGGAACCCCTGCAACTCTAGGGCTTTAGCCAAGAGTAAGACTATAATCCCTTCTCTCTGGTACATTGTTGCTGCTGTCCTGCCAACTGAACCAGGACTGGCTAGGCAATCACCATCCAGTGTTCACATGGATAACTCCTGTTTGAGAAGAAGCTGAGAAGGTAAGACATGGCTTGGCCTTTCAGCAAGTGAGATGTAGACCAAAGATTTCAACCCAGACCCTGTGGTCAAGCTCTTATGTGTATGGCTGGGAGGTGTCCTACCCCCAGGCTCCAGGAGATCCTATTTCTCTTACTATAGGACTGTTTATGTCCAAGGAAGGACTGAGTCAAACTCATCTTGTGTGAAGACTGAGCTCAAGGGCTGGTGGGCAATGACATGCTCAAGACATTATGAGTTCTATGCAGAGGATTCTGGGAGACTGGGTGGATGCTCACACGCTGCCTTATTCCACTTCAGGGATCATCTCTTTTACAGTCATCCTCCCCAAGTGACTCTGGCCTATAATGGGCAGGCTGCCCTACCCCTGCTTCTTCATTACTATAGGAAATGCTGACTCACTGGGTCATCAGCACAAGCCAAAGGCAACTAGGGAGGAGAAGGATCTATAATAAAATCACAGGTGGTTGGCAAAGGGCATGAAAAGTGCTTATGAGATTGCCCCAGACTCCTCTTTCCACACTGCCATCATGGTAGTGATAGTTGTCACAGGTAATGTGGAGACAAAGGCAGCACACATCTCCCTTACCAGCCCCTGCCTAGGAGCACAGGCGTGAAGATGGAAGACCCAAGCTCTTGTTCTCTTCTGTGTTCCTTTCCTTCCCTACCTGAGCCTCAGTTTCTCTATCTCTAGAGAAAGGCTTGGGCTGCTCATTTTTCTCTAAGATTCCTTCTGGTGCCAGCATCATTGTAAATTGTGTCTTAGCTGATCTGGGAACAGATTCTAATTTAATAACTGAAAGTAGCCTTTTTCCTTTCAGTAGCATAAAAGAGTATGCAAAAATCAAGATGTAATTCCAGGTGGGCAGCAGATCTGATGTCTTTGGGCGATGGTGAAATAAGGAAAACTGGTGAGGGAACTCTTGAATCAGTCTGCCCATGGTGCTCTGTGCCCAGTTGCCATTGTTGCCTTCTAGATGCACAGAGATCTGGATGCTGGAACTCATGAATCTGTGTCAGTGGTCCCCATGCTTACCGGCAGCCTGCTGCTCCTTGTCAAGTCAGCAGGGGTGTAAATATTGAGGTAGAGACAGTCTTCAGAAAACTGAAGAGGAATGCGCTCCTTTCTGTTGGTTAGGAGGTCATTGACCATCTGCCCTCTCTCTGCATCTTGGGAGCACCTAGGAGAGGAGAAAAAAATACCAGATGCTCCTCCAGAACAAAGCTGAAAATGCCACCTTAGGGCCAGCACTGTACTTGAAGGCTTGATGCTGTGGATGGAGCTATTTTTCACTGGACCAGACTTATGTGTAATTGGTAAGAGGGTATCTAAAATTACTAGTGGGAACCCTGGGACTCTAAGAGTCTCCCAGCCCTGAAGATGGAGATAAACTTGATGCTTTCCCCCTTTCTAGAGTCTTTGGAACGCTTTGGCTCAAGGACAGACAGGCTCATATAGTGCCCTGCTCTGGGAGATAATAGCCCTACACTACCAGTACAGGGCTGTGCCTTCAATTTGCTTTGTACAAGGGGCTTCCGGGTATCTGTGTTCCTCCATACTCTACTTCTTAGGAGACTTCTATTAACCAGGAAGGCTACCTCTAATGACAGCCTGCTGCAGGTCAGGAGTAATAGCTTTGTGTGATGACCTCATAAGAACTGCCTTCCAGCCTGCCTCAGCCATTGATGAGCTGGATGGCCTTGAGTGAATTCATACTTTGCTCTGGGTCCCAAACCTCCAGGTCCATGTGAGGTGAGTGCTTAGAGGGTTGCATATCAGCCTTTTATCATCTTCTTATTCCAGCAATTACTCCTGTATTCTCTGATAACAGAGTTCAAAGGTGAAATGGTAGCAATTGTGTCTGGCACTGATTTAAATTCTCGTAATGTACAAACTCGCATGGCAAATCATCCCTACACTTGGATTCTACTTTTACTCCCAAGATTGTAGATGAGAAAACAAAGACAGGGAAATGTGACAGTCTGCCTAAGATCACACAGCTAAGATGCTTCAGGCTGTGCAGTTTCTTAATTCAAATAAATTATAACTAACATGATCCAGTCTTATGTGACACAGATGGAAGTCACACTGGCCTCAGTATGTATAAGTAACAGTGAGGCTCTCAGTGCCAGGATTATGAAGTTGCCACATGGCTAAAGTGAAGTCAGAAAATTATTATCTGGAGGCTTTTTTTTTTTAATTAAGAAATTTTCTACTCACTCTACATACCACCCACAGATCCCATCTCCTCCCTCCTCCCATCCCCCAGCCTTCCCTCCCAAGCCACTCCACATCCCCACATCCCCCAAGTCAAGTTCTCCCATGGGGAGTCAGCAGAGCCTGGCACACTAAGCCTAGGCAGGTCCAAGCCCCTCCTCACTGCACCAAGGCTATGCAAGGCATCACACCACCGCCACTGGGCTCCTAAAAGCCTGCCCATGTGCCAGGGATGGATCCCGATCACCCTGTCTGAGTGCCCCGAACATTTCAAGCCAAACAAACGTCTTCCGTATCTAGAGGGCCTAGTCCAGTCCCATAGAGACTCCACAGCCACTAGTCTACAGTTCATGGGCTTCCACCAGTGTGGCTGGTCATCTCTGCACATCTTTACATCATGATCTCGACGTCTCCCACCTGCAGAATCCCTCCCCCTCCCCCCCCTCTCTCTCTCATCGATTGGATTCCCAGAGCTCAGCCTGGCGCCTGGCCGTGGATCTCTGCATCTGCCTCCATCAGTCACTAGACAAAGGCTCTATGATAGCAGTTAGGGTATTCACTAGACCGGTCACTAGAGTAGACTGGTCACTAGAGTAGACCGGTCCAGGTACCCTCTAGACCACTGCTAGCACTCCAAGGTGGGGTCATCCTTGTGGATTCCTGAGAGCCTCCCCAGCACCCTACCTCTTCCTATTCCCATGATGTCCTCATCTAGCATGGTATCTCCCTCCCTGCCCTACCACTCTGTCCCTGTTCCAGCTCGACCCTCCCATTTCCCTATGTTCTCATCCCCCACTCCTCACCCTCTGCCCCCCCCACTCCCAGTCCAGTCATGTAGTTCTCATCCACTTCTTCACTGGGCCATGCATATGTCCCTCCTAGGGTCTTACACTGTTAGCTAGCCTCTCTGGAGCTATGGGTTGCAGTCTGGCCATCCCTCCCCTCACATCTAGTATCCACTTATGAGTGAGTACACACTATGTTTGTCCTTCTGACTCTGGGTTACTTACTCAGGATTATATTTTCTAGTTCTATCCATTTGCCTGCAAATTTCATGATATCATTTTTTTTACTGCTGAGTAGTACTCCATTGTATGTATGTGCTACATTTTCTTTATCCATTCTTCAGTTGAGGGGCAACTAGGTTGTTTCCAGGTTCTTGCTATTACAAATAATGCTGCTATGAACATAGTTGAGCATGTGTCCTTTTGGTAAGATCGAGCATTCCTTGGGTATATGCACAAGAGTAGTATAGCTTGGTCTTGAGGAAGACTTATTCTCAATTTTCTGAGAAACCGCCATACTGATTTCCAGAGTGACTGTACAAGTTTGCATTCCCACCAGCAGTGGAAGAGTGTTCCCCTTGCTTCACATCCTTTCCAACATAAGCTGTCTTCAGTGTTTTTGATCTTAGCCATTCTGACAGGTGTAAGATGGTATCTCAGAGTTGTTTTGATTTGCATTTCCCTCATGACTAAGGATGTTGAGCAATTCCTTAAATGTCTTTCAGCCATTTGAAATTCTTTTGTTAAGAATTTTCTATTAAGCTCTGTAGCCCATTTTTAAATTGGATTGTTCAGTATTTTGATGCCTAGCTTTTTGAGTTCTTTATATATTTTGGAGATCAGCCCTCTGTCAGATGTAGGGTTGGTGAAGATCTTTTCCCATTCTGTAAGCTGTCATTTTGTCTTATTGACCATATCCTTTGCTCTACAAAAGCTTCTCAGTTTCAGGAGGTCCCATTTATTAATTGTTGCTCTCAGTGTCTGTGCTACTGGTGTTATATTTAGGAAGTGGTATCTGAAGGCTTTCTTAAGTCAACAAAAGCAAGGGGTCCAAATGTATGAAGCAGTGTTTGGGAAGTAGACAACAGGCAAATGACTGA